TCTCTCTCTCTCTCTCTCTCTCTCTCTCTCTCTCTCTCTCTGCGAACGTACCACGAGTCCGATTTCCTTCTTTCTTTCTTTTTTGGTGGTGAATGTTGTTTGTTTTTTTGTGTTTTTTCTTTTTTTTTTCTTTTTCCGTGATGTACTACCGGTTGTCCGAGGCTCGGCAATAAAGTCCGAGGCTCGGCAATGATAGATCTACCGGAAGTCCGAGCCTCAGACTTGATAGTTGGGCGAGGTACTGGTGGTTTAAATTAATGCAACTGACAGGCTTCGGTAGTATGACCCGCTTGACTTGGCCCCTGGCGTAAGACAGTTGCCACGCGCCAGTTGGTTACATCCACCTTGCTCGTGAGAATCCACAATATTCGTAAGCCTTCTAGGCTCTTCCACGAACATGGCCTGAACAGGGAGCGTTGCCATTCGTGCCTGGGCGGTTGGGCATGCCTAACCAATTCGGTCCCAGGCCACTGTCTGAAAGGGCCTGGGCGCCGACACTTTGGCCGAGACTGAAGCTACTGGGAAAACACAGTCTCACATTGGCAGCGCTGCTGGAACGAGTGCTCGCGTGCTGCGGCTAGCGCCAACGCAGAGGTGCGCTCGTGCGGTCATGCAAGTGGAAGGGCGCTGCTGAGGGCAGCTCCATAGCCTGACATTTGTAGCCAGGCTGGGGCTTGGACATAGCCAGCGGGTGGTGGTGGTCTTCGTGTACGAGGAAGAAGACGTGGGTTGAGAAGACGAGGGGGAGAGAGAGAAAGAGAGATGATGGTCTTGGTGATAGTCTTCAAGGGTCGACATCTTCATTGACTTCGGTTCTGCTGCTGACGTCAACAACTTGCATTGTCAATTCGTAGGCTGGTCGTAGCTGTATCACGGTGATCATAGTCTGGGCGCTGAGCGCCAAGTAGGGGGAAGGGCTCTGGATACATATGTTGGTGGTGGCGAGAGTATGCTCTCATCGACATTCAGATTCTGTGCTTTGGTTCTCCGTTGGTGATATATCAGTGCAATTCTGCTTTTTGGACAGTGTTGGAGTTTATGGCTTTCAATGTGATATTGCATTCTGGATTCTGTCATTTCGGTATCGCGCATTTTCCTTGCAAATTGGTATCGGGGCTGGTTCGAGCCGCTCCGCTGCCTCGTTCACAATAGATGCTTGGTGCTTCGTTGATTATGGTGGGGCAGTGCTAACGCTTGTGCGTCGGTAAATGGGCGGCCCAGTGTTGTGTGAGCACACCAGGAAGGCTATGTGGTGACATAGGAGGTGCACGCCGGATGTTGAGAGCTTGCTGGCGTGGCAATTTAAGTCGAGGWGGAACTGCATTGTATTGTGGATTGTGCCAAGGCATCGAACGCGCATCATAAATGCACGTCAAGTTACTGGTGAGAAATCTGTGGTTAGGGGCACCATTAGTTTGCGGTATGTTGCTTCTTATCTTATCTACCTTCTTCTTCATTACTTCTTAAGGTGAGGAAGTGATTTCTATTTGAGAGTCCTCTCAGTCGCGAGCGCTCAACCTTAAGAGTCAACAATCTTCCTGGGGAGCATGCTGGTGGGAGACGGGCGTTGCCTCTGAAGGGCCCTTGACGAAGCACTCGGGTCACGGTCACCATGCCAACCCGCGGGGACTAGTACACGCATGCTTGGCCGCTTGTCTTTGGTTCTGCTTGCTGCGATGTAGAGGGAATGTGGACTGACCAGTCCTACATGAGACGCTTACCAGACCGTCTATAAATATTTATGTCGAGATCTGAGTTGAATACTGGTTGTAATCGTCGTCCTGTTAGCGACGTTAAATAATTCCTGAGGACCTTGGGGGTTGTCCTTAAATTGCCTCTTGATCAGCCAGATCAATCGGATGGAAGACTCGTTGCACGCGAGGATAAAGAACGGGCAGGACTAGTCATAAACGATTTCCTGGGCACAGGGGTGGGCCGAATGCACACCTTCAGACACGCCGCTGAACTAAAGCTTCGGGACGTTGACATCAAGTGACCACTCAAGAGGGATAAAGGGGGAGTGAGGATACCAGTAAATAGTTCGATTATTTCTAATTGAAAAATTTCCATTTTCCATGCATTTATTTTTATTTTGAYGAGTTAGTTGTGACGAAYATGYTAACAACTGACAGACAAYTGCAGATAGRCRGTAATAACTCCTTGTTGCATTGCGATCTGTATCGGACTAGTTAAAAGTAGGAATAAAATTGTTTGTACGAATCTGAGATTATCTATTGTCACCGCTTGACTACTAAGTCACTACGTTCTGACAAAGCTGGACCGAAAAATTATTTTATTTTATTTTAATTTAATCGGTTGGACGCCATGCTCCGGTAGGTCCCAGCGAGGCAACTAGTGTAGATCGTACTAGGCCACGCATAGCTCATGAGTGAAGATGATTGTGAGGTTGAGGGACTAAAGGAAGACGATACGAGAGGAAAGAAGACTGCGGAGAGAAGCCAAGGAGAGGGTCAGACTGCAGAGGGCTAGGGAAGCAGCAGCCAACGTTGAAAGAGCACTAGCAACAGCACTAGCAGCAAACGCTAGAGCCAACGTCGAGGCAGCTATGGCTACCACCTCTACTATGTCGCAGGCCACATCTCAGGCCTCTTCGTCAGGTGTTAGTCAGGTTATGACCTAGTCTTGCATTAGTCGGTCTGCTGGCTTCCTCGGTCCTTGTGAGCTTATGCCTCACGTACGTGGGCACAGTCCTTACCCAGGTATCCAAGTCCTCTTCCTTCTTCTTGTCGCCACAGAAGGGTTTAGGACTCGACAAGGGTATCTTGGGGTTCCACTGCATGGGTTGTATAGCACTTTGTGCCTGCTTCATTGGTTGTGAAACCAATGGACCAGTTTGTTGCTGCAGGGGTAACTGTTGCACATGCTGCTATACATGAGGCTGTCCTGTAGCAGCAGCCGTTGATTGTGGATGTGAAGAAGGTACCGATATCTGCCAACTACTACCGATTGTTATTCCGCCTGATTGAGGTATGCCAAATTGAGGCCTAAAGGGTTTCTACGTTGGTGGCAGCGTCATTATAGGACCTGCAATTGTAGGGGGAGCTACAACAACCTGTGGCTGCCCAACCAGAGGTCATGGCACCCAAAGGGCGGTCAGAATCTGGTTCTGACCAGCTATCAGTGCAGCCAACATTTCCTGTTGTAAGGCCTGCACTTCGACTACACTTAGGGTCAGGAGTTGACTCATCTATAGCTTCTAACTTACCTAACTATTTTTCCCTTAACTCTAGTCTGGTTTTTCTAAGGCTAGCTTTTTCTCTTATCTCTTTTACATCCTGCAACTGGCGCTGTAACTCATCGTGGACAACATCCTCTTCTCGGATCTTGTAGTCCTCTGCTGACAGTTGTTTTTCTTGGTTGACGGCCAGAACTTCGATGGCTGGGCACAGGCTCCGACATTGGAGGAGTTTGTATGGATGATCTATAACAGGTGGCATGATCCCCAAGGGGCTCAAAAGGCCACCGACTCGCTAGCTGGTCTAGGATCAAAAAAATACTGTACAATTCGCGAGGTTACAGACGTCGTAGAGCGACTGATGGTTGTTCTTGGTGTGCGGTATGATCCGCAGGTCCTCCTCACAACTTATTTGCAATGTGTGCCCACAAATGTCAAAAATAAGTTGGTCGATGAGGCCTCCATAGATGTAAATAACTTCGCCTCGTTCAGCTAGAAGGCCTTAGACATAGAGGCAAGTTGTGCCCAGTAGGGACCAACAAATAGAAGGAAGAAAAAGCTTCCTCACGGTTGGAGAAAGAAGGGCAACATCATGTTTGTTAACCACGATGGTCAGACGACTGAGATTGATGACTTTCCTGATCTTGGGAAAAAGACAGAGTTGGATGGGGGTGCAGATGCTTCAGATGGTGGGGTAGCCATGCCCATTTGGCCATTAGAGAAAAGAGTGAGGGGGGCAAAAAACAGAAGGCAAGCCGGCCTAAGGGTCAAGGTGACCAAGGACCTCCCATTTGCGTACAACTTGGTCTAGTATGGCGTGACCGTGTCGCTCGAGGCGCGTGCCTCAATTGTGGCCAGTATGGGCACAAAATGACGAACTGAAGGAGCAAACGGGTCACCGGGAAGGTAGGATCCCTGACAGTGGTTGCCGGATCTTCCCACTCTGGTGGTGCTTCTGCGAGCACTTAGCAAGGAAACACCTCGGGCCAGTAGGAGTTTTAGCCGCTCTTACTCGTGTTGAAGTGGTAACTTTACTTTCTCCAT